GTTCCCGCTCGCAGCTAAAATAGATCTTTAATCTCTGCCCAAAATAGCTCATTTGATGAGAGGCCTCCTTAAAGCTGACACATAAATTTAACCAGGCTGCCCGAGCCCTGCGCAAGGATGTCTGCAAACGCTCAGCAGCACTCCAATTGTTGGGGTTTGTTTTAATTCCATCCTTACAGACACATCTGATACCTTATTTCTTCCATCGGATTAAGACATAACTTGCTTGTGTCTTCTGCCCTGGGCTGAGGGGGTCGTGCCCCCATCCCACTTGCGAGAAAAAGGTTGTTTTGGGTTTTTTTATGTTGATTTTCTGAACAGTCCAAGGGTTTTCTCCTCGGAGCCACCCCGGGAGCAGAAACCTTGGTGCTGGGTAGGATGGGAGAGACCTTTCCTCATCGCTGCCTTACGGTACCAGCAGTGGGGATGCTCCAGTCAGTGGCTGAGGTGGGCTCTCAGCCCTGGCCCCTTGCACCAGGGCCACTCCATGGCTGATGAGCACCCCAGCATCATGGCAACCCCAAAAAAGCACCGTGGTGGTAGTGGGGCAGCAAAATGCCAACATCGGACCCCTGAGCTGAGGGCACAGGGCAGGAAGCTGCTGAGCCAGTGTGGGTCACTCCCCCAGCCCTCTGCATCTCCCTGCATCCCCAGCAAGGTCCTGAGCTGCAAAATAATCACTTCCAGCATCATTATCCGCTGCAAACCCCAGCTTCCAATTTTAATCAGAGGAGCTGGTGTTGCTTTAAGATCTGCGGGTTTTAAAGATCACAAGAGGGGTTAGAGAAAATTACCCTTGACTCTTACATGCTAATGTAATCTCTAACCAGATCTGCGGCACTGCAGCTAAAATTGCTTTTTAGATTAACATTTAATTATTAACAGGGCCCCCTGAAAGGCCCGGGGCTGGAGCGTGCGGAGGGGAGCGGATTAGCGGGGCGAGCTGGCGCGGCGGCCGGGCGAGGGGAAGGTCGTGGCACAGCCGGCGGCACCGCGCCATGCTTTATTGCAGCCCTCGGCACCGCGGCGGCCAACTTCTGCTTTATTTTATCCCCT